TTTTCGAAAGCCAAAAGTCATACAGAAAAAGACTGTTGGACGCAAGCCATGAAAGAGGAGATGAGTTCTTTGCAGAAGAACCACACTTATGAGCTTGTTCTACTTCCAAGAGACAAGAGAGCCTTGAAGAACAAATGGGTGTATAAGTTGAAGAAATGGAGACAATCCTTTATTCTTCTGCAGTAGGAAGTGTAACAAGCCCGCGGGGGACCTCGCTACAGCTCGTCCAAGAGACAAGAGAGCCTTGAAGAACAAATGGGTGTATAAGTTGAAGAAAGATGGAAACGGTAAACTATTGCAGCATAAAGCTCGTTTGGTGGTCAAAGGCTTTGGGTAGAAGAAATGAATTAATTTTGATGAGATTTTCTTCCCAGTTGTGAAGATGACTTCCATTCGAGTAGCTCTGGGATTAGCAGCTCGTTTGAATATGGAAGTAAAACAAATGGATGTCAAGACTGCCTTTCTTCATGGTGATTTGGAGGAAGAGATCTATATGGAGCAACCAGAAGGATTTGAAGTTAAAGGAAAACAAAATCTAGTCTGCAAACTAAAGAAGAGTCTCTACGGCCTGAAACAGGCGCTGAGACAATGCTACAAGAAGTTTGATTCATTTATGGTGGATCACGAGTACACAAGAACGGTGGCAGACCAGTGTGTATATTTCCGAAGGTTTTCGGATAGAAGCTTCATTATCCTACTGTTGTATGTCGATGATATGCTAATCATCGGACAAGATACTACTATGATCAACAAGTTAAAAAAGGACTTGTCGCAGTATTTTGACATGAAGAATTTAGGCCTAGCATAGTAAATTTTGGGCATGAAGATTGTTTGTGACAGGAAAGCCAAGAAGATATGGCTATCACATGAGAAATATGTTGAATGGGTAATTGAAAGGTTCAACATGAAAGATGCCAAGCCAGTCAGCACACCACTGGCCAACCATTTCAATGTGTCAAAGCGTTTGTGTCCCACGACCAGCTCTACAAGGAAAGAAATGGAGACAATCCTTTATTCTTCCGCAGTAGGAAGTTTGATGTATGCAATGGTATATACCCGGCCAGACATAGCTCACGTAGTTGGCGTTGTGAGCAGATTCCTCCCCAATCTAAGAAAGGAGCATTGGGAGGCGGTCAAATGGATTCTTCGATACTTGAAGGGAACTTCAAAGATGTGTTTATGTTTTAGGGGAGCTGAACCAATTTTGGAGGGTTTTACAGATGCCGATATGGCAGGTGATCTTGATGGTAGAAAGTCTACATCAGGATTTCTATTTACCTTTGCAGGAGGAGCTGTTTCATGGCAGTCCAAACTACAAATGTGTGTTGCTTTATCTACAACAGAGGCAGAGTACATTGCTATCGCAGATGCTGGAAAGGAAATGTTGTGGTTAAAGCGGTTTCTCCAAGAATTGGGTCTACAGCAGGAAGAGTACAGGGTACATTGTGATAGTCAGAGTGCAATTGATCTGAGCAAGAATTTCATGTACCATTCACGCACAAAACACATTAATGTCCGGTATCATTGGATACGAGAAGTGATGAAAAAGCAGCTGATGAAGCTAGTGAAGATTCACACGAACAAGAATCCTTCTGACATGATGACCAAGGGTGTCACTAGAGACAAACTGGAAGTTTACAAAAATCTGACCAGGATGGACTTCAAGTGAGAAGTCAGTTATCCATATGGGCGTGGAGGGAGAGAATTGTTAGCTCCATCCACTACCCACATGGTACGGAGCCCACTATTAACATGGTATGGGTGGCACCATGTGGTAAATGAAGCTGGTGGGGTAGTACCAACTCACCAAAGGTAGATGGTGAGGGTGGCACAACCAAGCCCACTCATGGCTATCACTTCACATACTCCTCTTCACTTGGTTATAAATTGACATGAGTGAGGAGGGGTTGGAGAGAGATATGGGAGTGACACACTGAGCTGAGAATACACAAAGGAGAGTATAATCTGTGAGTGTGAGAGTTGTATAGAGAGTTGTGAGGTGTGAGTTCTGTAATCTCCCTCCAGGATAATTCTATAGTAGATACCTCTCCGTGGACGTAGACATTTGCCGAACCACGTAAATATTCTTGTGTTATTGTGTGAAATTGATTTCTGGTGTCCCATAGTCCTAACATGGTGCTGGTGTGCTTGTATGTTATGTGCTTTGCATGGTCATGGGGACCTCTTAGTTGGCTGATTCCTAGCGAAACCTTCCCTCTCGAGACTAGAACCTCAGGCTTTGCTTTCGCTGTCAGCTCCAACATGTTGATGACTTTCCTGGTGGCTCAAGCTTTCTTATCGATGCTCTGTCACATGCGAGCCTTCATATTTTTTTTCTTCTCGCCTTGGATTTTGGTCATGGGATTGTTTGTGGTGTTCCTCGTGCCGGAAACGAAGGGCGTTCCGATCGATTCCATTGTGGAAAGGGTGTGGAAACACCATCCAGTGTGGAAGAAGTTCATGAATGATGACGGTCCAAAGAGCCAGGAGATGATCTGATCGTGACACACATATTAAAACTGATTGTTGATACGATTAAGATTTTCTTCCCATTTTTTTTTGGAATTGTTTTTAGTGTTTTCATGGAGTTTGTTAATTGGCGTGGAAGATATGTCGTGCAAAGCTTTTCTTATGTCCCCCCCTCCCTCGAAATTGACTATGAAATTTTAAAGTATAAGAAAAATAATGTGTTTTCATGGAGTTAGTTAATTGTTTTGGAAGATATGTTGCATGTATAGTTTTTTTTTTTTAATGTTTTATTGTTATTTTTTCCCCCCCAAATTGATTATGAAATTTTAAGAAAGTATAAGGTTCTGTTTGTTTTGACGTAAAATATTTTATAGAAAAAATATTTTTCTTGTAAATTGATTTTACAAAAAATAAAATTTGTCTTTTGTTTTTCAGCGTTTAGTTGACGCTTGAAACAAAAATATTTTATTACTTAAAAGAGAAATTTTGATTCAATAAAGTGTTATTTATAACCTTTTAGTGTGTTAAAATATTTATTTGAAAATGTAGTGATTGATAGTCAATTTTGTAAAAAATTAATTTAAGAAATTTTTTAAGGTAAATCATTTTTGGAAAAATGATGTAAAAATATTTTTATTAAAAAATGTTTTACTTACTTTTTGATCAACCAAACAATGGAAAATGAAAAAAATATTTTAGATGAAAACAAATAGAGCCTATTGTTTTATTTTATTTTATTTTATCCCCCAAATTGAATATGAAATTTTGAAGTATCAAAGAAAATTTTGGTAGTGTTTGGTTTTAGATTGGAATCATGATTCCAATAAAAAAATTTCAAAACTCTTTTAAAATACTATTTTCAAAACTCATAACAAACTCTTTTCAAAAATTTTTTTTTTTAAAAAAAAAAGTTTTATTTTGTTCTTTAAAATTATTTTTATTTTTGATTTTTTTTGAAAAAATATTTTTTTCAGATAATATTATTTTTATTTTTATTTTTTAAGAAAAATATTTTATTATTTTTTTTGAAAAAAATATTTTGTTATTTTTTTTAAATATTGGCCAAATAATTTGTTATGATTTAAATATATATGGGCGATCAAATTTTTTTTAATTCAGCTTGTTCAGTGCTTTGAAAAGGTAGCAGGAGCAATATCATCCATCAAGATCTATTTTCGTGATGTCAGCATATTTCTGTTAACAATTCCTAATATTTACTTCAAGGTAGGGGATAAATTGTTATGCGAATATAAACCTTAGGAGGCGAGATGTAATTTATGAAACCTAAGGGGGGAATGTGTAATTTAACTAAACTTCAAGAGGGTGTAGATAATTTGTCCTAAGATTTAATGAGTAATAAGTCACAAAAATATGACCTATGGATAATTTATCCCAATTTGAATTGTATATAAGACCATCTCTTATCATTTATCAATTTGTCCATCAAATTTTATTATGAATTTGACTCAACACACTCTTGATCAAAGTCAACCTACCCTCTTTCGCCAGATATTGCCTCTTCCAACCTGCCAACCGACGCTAAATACGCTTCACCCCTCCTTCCCACACCCGTTGAGCTTTAAACATTGCCCCCAACGGCAAGCCCAAATAAGTAGCCGGCAAAGCTGACTCCTTACAACCCAACACTGGCAAATTTTCCAGCTTCCCCACCGGAATCATTTCCGACTTCCTGAGATTCACCCAAAGGTCCGAAACTGCCTCAAAACACAACAAGACACATTGCAAATAACCCACCTGCTTTGCCACGGCCCCACAAAAAATCAAGCATCATCAGCATACAGCAAATGAAAAAACACAAATAGGCGCCCCTGTGAGAGGACCTACTAAAAAGCCCTCCAATAAACCCTCAAGAACAATAATGGAGACGGAGGAACCCCTTGACGAAGGACTCTGTAGGTTGGGAAAAAACCAGCCGGTGTCCCATTGACCAGAACAGACATCCGCACAGTAGAAATGCAACTGAATCCACTTCCGCTAAGTCTCTCCAAAACCCATACACTTCAAAGCATACAGAAGAAACTCCCACCGAATATTATCATACACCTTCTCAATGTCCAATTTACAAATCAAACCTGGTTAGCCCTGTCGAATTCGGGAATCCACACACTCATTTGCCACCAACATTGCATCTAGGGGGGGGGAATAACACTTGCCATCTCACCAAGTCACGACCTCTAATTTTTATACATCATCATCAAATTTAAACATTGAAACTTTAAAAAGGCAAACAAGAATAAAACAAGAAATTACTTAATCTTTGGTCACACCAGGAGTGGAGTGAATTTGTCAACTTTCAGGAAGGGTCAAAGCCAGGGTCCCGATCCTGATTCTATTATAATGTGAAATGTGGAAACCAAACAAAAAATTCACATTTCGTATGCACTAAATAAACTTTTTTCATGATTTCTATTCATAAGGCCAGCATTTAAATTCAAATAGTATTGGATAAGTGCAACATTTCTGTGTGCCTCTAATTTGTACAAGTATTGATACTGATTTGTGAGAATACACAAACAAAAGGAATTATAGAAAGAGAATCCCAAGTGGATCATATTACCTCTTTTGGTCTTTTTATAGAAATACACCCGGCTAAATCTCCAATAAGATTGATCCACTTCTCGTTTTCATTTTGCCCTCTGTCTCTAGCCAAAATCTGTGAATAAATTTTTCCTTTTGTTCTTATCCAGCACTTAGTATAAAGAAGAGTCCCCGGAATTACAAAAGATGAGTAGAACTTCTACACATAACTTAGTGTACCTTTCCCATTTCAAGATCACCAACACATTCACAGAATGCTTGAAATGCAATTAGAAGGGCCCTGTAAAGAAGAAAATTGGAAAAAAGGTCAAAGAGAATTTTAAAAGAAAAAAAATGCACTTTTCAAATCTAATAATTATAAGCCGTGCATGTACCGTAATGGTTCTTGTTGACCAGAACTAGCTAAACCATGACAGCTTCCCAGCTGGAGTAAAAGTTCTGCTAAAACAGAAGAATAACTTTGTTCAACAGCCTTTTTTCCTACTTTACCACCACCTCTGTAATAAAGATAGCACATTGCAATATTCAATAGACTGTATAATGAAATTGGAACCTGAGCAATGCAATTGAACACAAACCTGAAGAAGGCAGTGAGAGCAAAAATAGCAGCCTGCAGGATGTCTTTGTCTATGTGACCATTAGTGTTATGATTAGAACTGTCTCCTTTCTCCAAATCACCTTTAAGTATAGGCATCTGGTTAAGGACATATATTACATGCTCCAGGAACGAGAATGAAAGTACTGTATGCTGAGAAAATGCCTGTATAAATAATCACGAAAAAGTAAATCATGGTATTAATTTTAACTAAGAGGTCATAGAAGAAGACCAAAAACAAAAAAAAAAATTGAACAACAGAATTCAAACATGACTTACATAACATCACATATGATGGAAATCACATTTTATTTCCACAATTTATATTGCATTTTGAATTACAATAAACAAATTTCAGACTATATGACTACATCCTAAGAAGGTGGCATGTCATACTGGACACCGACACGACACGACACGACACGACACAACACAACAGTCGTCAGGCAGTTCCCAACACATGTTAGACACACGTTCAAAAAAAATTTAGACAAACATGTTTAAGATACTTGGGAACACGTGTCTATCGTTGAGATACATGTGAAACACATTACAAATATGAATAAAATAATTTGGAATCTAATGATAAAAGAAAATTAACATTAATTTATATATGTTGTCCTTTAGACATTGTAAAAATTATTTTCTGTAATAAAAGAAAATTAACATAAAATTATTTCCGTGTCCTACATTTTTTCAAAATTTCTGTGTTGGTGTATCTGTGTCGTGTCACGTGCTTGTTAGACTGCATCACTGTACTTTTTATATTTTTCTTCTTTCTCCCCTCTTCTCTTTCACAACTCAGTGGCATGTAATGTTCTATTTGACAGTGGGAAGCTTTTATTTTTTTGATAAATAAATAAGCCTTATTAAAAGAGCATCAAGAAGATGCAAATAATACAAATCTTCAAAGAGGACCTACCGCCTCCTAACCAATAATATTATCTAAAAAATCTAACTGGACAAACAAATCCGGATCAAACTTCCCTTCCAACCAACTATACAAAACTGTAAGAAGGCAACTCTCGAGCCACGAAACACTGTGACGAACCTCCTGAAAAGTTCGCCTATTACGCTCGAACCAAACTAGCCATATCAAATAAAGAGCATAGACCACACACGCCGCCGCTGCCGTTGCCGCTGCTGTCGCCGACCAACCTTTGCTCCACGCCAACTTCACAGCATATCCACTACCCGCTACGGTTGAATCCAAACAATCCCAAAAGGAGAGCACATAAGACTCCACAAACGGCTAGCCATAGAACAGTGCAAGAACAAATGATCAACAGATTCTACATCAGCACAACACATGCAACACCGATTTAATAGAAAATGACCATGCTACACCAAATTATCAATCGTAAGATTCCGTCCTAATGCCGCTGTTCACATGATTGGCCGCCCGCCGGACCTCCACACATTCCTTCACTCCGCTGCCACAAATTCCACATCTCTCTCTAGATTTAGTATATACAGAGAGCTATGGAGTCTAAGCCAAGCTTACTGAGGAACATTCTGGTTCGACTCTTTGTCTTCGGTGTTCTCATCATCGCCGTCCGATTCGCCTACGTCGTCACCATCAGAGGCGAATCCTGCGATCTCGGAAGCTTCTGCTTCTTTTCCTCGCCGGAAAATCTCAACCTCGTGATCGGCGTCCAAAATCGCAGGTCATCGGCGATCATTACAAACGACGCCGTCAACACTCCCGATCTCTGGAACACCACTCTCTCTCCCTCTCACCGCTTCTCTCCTCCTCTCTCCAGATCGACACAGCAGTGCCGAAGGGCGGCGGCGCATGATGGATGTCACTGTCTGCGACGGAGGATCCAAGAGTCGGCGATGGTGACGGATTTGGATTTTGAAGATGGATTAATCGCGATGGCTAATAGATTTGCCTTTGAGATTCCATTGCGTGTTCGGTTATGGCATAGCGCTTCCAATCTCTATCCCAGACGCCGCCATCAGCTGGAAACTTGCCACCACTACCGCTGCTCCTCCTCTGCCTCGCGATCCTTGTCTCGCCAAACAACAGATTTTCACACCCTCGTCCGCCGCCAGCCTTCTCCAGCCGTGCCGCTACTACTCCTCTCTCGAACCAGAGCTTTGTCATCGATGGCAGATCTCTCTCCACCGCCACGATGAACAACGGCAGTACTCATCAAGCTGGGCCGTCATACTGGGATCCTCCTCCTCCTCCAGTAACAACAGCAGCAGGGAACTCCGAGAAATGGGGGACCCACATCATGGGTGCACCTGCTGTACCCACTTCGCACCCCGCCAATCAAAAGGCCGCCTTATGGACTGCCGGAGGAGGAGGAGGAGGAGGCGATCACTCCCAAGCCCAGCAGACCAACCACCCGTACCTCTACTACTCCTCAGTTGACAAGCCTAACACCACCACCAGTCCCATGGAATGTATTCTCCATAAGTTCAACTCCTGGAGCAAAAAGGCCGAGATCACCTCCCACAATATCTGGAACCATCTGAAAACAGGGCCATCTGTATCGGGAGCAGCGTGGGATAAAGTGAACCTGACCGACATTCATGTAGCTTTTTGCAGCGATCTGTCCCCTATCCGTCACTGCACCCTCCGGCCAAGAGTCTTGGAGCTATTACAAGGTAATGACAAACAAATTGAACCCATGCCCTGATATGGAATATAGCACTATTGTAAGCGTTTATTATTATTATTATTACTATAACAATCTCCGTTTTTTTAGTTCTTCTTAGAACAATAATAATTAATAATAATTTGTAGTAGTAACAGAGATCAGTTGATTAATGGGAACAGGTTATGGTACCTTTGGGCAATATCTGCGCCATCAATTGTGACCATCTGGAGATACTTTTCTGATGGATTATCCCTCATGATCACTGGGTTGATGGCGCAGATATTGCCCAAAGGTACCATAACCTTGTAATAGCTCCAAGACTCTTGGCCGGAGGGTGCAGTGACGGATAGGGGACAGATCGCTGCAAAAAGCTACATGAATGTCGGTCAGGTTCACTTTATCCCACGCTGCTCCCGATACAGATGGCCCTGTTTTCAGATGGTTCCAGATATTGTGGGAGGTGATCTCGGCCTTTTTGCTCCAGGAGTTGAACTTATGGAGAATACATTCCATGGGACTGGTGGTGGTGTTAGGCTTGTCAACTGAGGAGTAGTAGAGGTACGGGTGGTTGGTCTGCTGGGCATGGGAGGTAGAAGAGAAGAGCACGAAAAAGCAGAGTATTGCTTTTGTGGTCATCATCTTCTCCAAAACCCTCTTGTTTGACTACCGTTCCTCCTCGGAGATGGTACGCGAAAGTAAGAGAGAGATCTTGCGAGTTGATGGAGGTCTCAAATTGGTTGAGGTCCGGCGGGCGGTCAAGGCAAAGTTGCCGCCCGCCAGAAGGCGAAGAGCACCAAGAGCTTAACCTATAGCTCTGATACCATGTAAGATAAATTGAGAAAGAGAGAAGAGAGAGCAAATGAATAAATGAGATGTATTATTGATGCTATGTATATAATGTGAAGGGATCTCTCCTTTTATAGAGGGGAGAGTGTTACAAAGGGGCCAAAAGAGCCGAAAGAAGAAAACATAATTATTAAACACTTTACATATTATATTCTAACAGAAAAAAAAAACAAAAAAATCTATGATATGTTCGATATTAAAATCTCAAGTAATATTATTTTTAATAAATATGATCAAATAATCATCGTCTATCTTGTTACACAATTCAATCTTTATATATTTCATAATTTAAACAATTAAAACATGTAAAATTAACATAAGATAAATCAATGTATAAAGAAGAGAGAGTAATCCATTTCAATAAATATTATCAAATTTTATGAACTTATTTTAAAAAATGTCATGTCAAATGCAGACTACCCTTACGCCCTCCCAAGATCCATCATAGGTTGGAGCTTGGAGGTCTAAACTGGGAATTTGAACATGCACGTTGATAGCGAAGGCAAAAAATTTGCATGTCAATTTCTAAACCATAAGTCATGTATCTTGCATTTCGAATATTGTAATTATCAATTAACAAAGGGTAATATTAAACGAACCAAAATAAAAGTCTCATGTCCCAATCAAATTAATCATTTTTTATCATTCTACATTGTCAAGGGATAAAAATATTCTTGTATGTTTTTCCTGGGTTATTTCTGAAGTTCTTAATTAACTTTAATTATGTTTAAATTTTGAATTTTTAGACACATTTACAAAGGGAAAAAAATGAAAAAGAAAAAATAAACTTCTTTATTTCTCTTCCTTTTTTTTTGCACCATAATTTAATATCCAAATACAATCTTGATTAATCTGAAAGAAAATATTGGGTGTATAATCCACCATGACAATTTTAATTATTTTTCTGCTAGTTGATATCCCACACCAAGACTGTTGGGAAATTAATATGCACAATATAATTAAGTAGATAAATCCTAGCATATAATAAGATGAAATCAATGCAGAATTTCCTACTACGTACGTTGCTTAATGCCTTGTTATTATGGGTATCACTTGTTTCTGATTCTTTCTTACTATAGAACCTTATTATATACCAAATCTTTTTATTAAAGTAATTGGAAGACATATTTTAATAGTCTTACCCGTATTAGTTGTATGCCACATGAATGTAATCAATTAGGTTTAAGGCCATTGTTGAAAATCTTGGAAGGAAAGAATGTTGGGTAGTGCCGTAATGACATCCCATACTATAATTTTTTAATTTTTTATTATAGAGAAAAGATTACTATATTTTTACTTCATTCTGGTCCAACCATATTGCTTCATACATTGAAGATGTTAATAAATGGATTTGTGATATACACTCCGCAGGATTTTAATGTGCAATGCAGTACCAACCAGGCCCCACTGATCATTGTGTAATGCTTTCACTTGTAAAAGTTCTCAGTTATGCTACGTAGCTCGAATCTTCCCTTCCCCGAATCCCTCGAATTCAAAACAACGTCGTTTCATTGTTTTGATTTATTTTTTTTTCAATAACGCAGAAGAAGAAAAATAAAAAAAGAAGAAGAAGAAAGGAGGAGGAGGAAGCGGAGAGTAGCAGAGAGAGAGAGAGAAAAAAAAATCATCAACAACAATATCATTATCATCATCTTCAGATCTTCATCACCATCATCATCACCAACACATTTTTAGAAGCTGCGATCGATCTGGAAAAAAAAAAAATGGGCTGAAGATGATGAGGCGGAGGCGACGGCGATCGACCCTCTCTCTCTCTCCATTCCCTCTTCCCCTCTCTTCTCTTTCTCTCCCTCTTCCTCTTCTTCTCTCTGCTCTCCCTCTCTCTTTCTCTTTCTCTCCCTCTGTTTCAGACATAAGGAGAGGAAAAAAAAAAAAATTTTTGCCCAAAACGACGTTGTTTTGGGCAGTCGGGGGATTCAGGGGGAAAAATTTCAAGCTACAAAACATTATTCAAAAGTTCTTTGCAGATGTATATGTTGATGTGATTTTGTTAGCTACTCATAAAGATTTTCTTTTTAGCATAAAAAATTATTGCGGGTGACATTGATGTTGCTTTTTCTCATGTTTAGTGTTGGATAATGGATGGTGGTAGAGTCAAAATTTTGACTCAGAAGGGAAACACTGAGTTAAATTCTTAGCATGATTTATCTTAATTTAATTGATGGTAAGGTGACTAAAAATTCTTTTCATTTGATGGTAAGGTCACTAAAAATTAGTAGTTATGTTTGAATCAATGAATTATTTAATTTATTATTAATTTAATTTTCAAGAAGGGTAGAAAAACAAATGAGAGAACATAAAATATGAGAGACATACCTGAAACTTCAAATGAGCAAATTAAAAAAAAAAATTAAATGTAAAAGTATAATTAAAAAAAAAATAAATTAAAAAGGGACATGTGCCCGGTCCCTATGTGGCTTTATGAGAAACTTTTCCTCCAATTGAATGATTAATTTATTGTGTCACATAATTTTTGGCACAATTGTAAATAAAGGTTGTTTTATAAATGAGCTATTTTAGTATTTGTTTTTAATTTTTTCTGAAAATAAGTGTAAAAAAATGAGGAGAAGAAGTGACTTTTATAATTCGTTTTTTTTAAGTCTGTTTTTTTTTGTCCTTAGAGAATGTATTAAATAATAAACAAACTCATTTTTAGACTCATTTTGTAAATCTAATAATATGATTGAGAAAATATAAGAGAGAGCGTTACCTTAGATATCCTGTTTGTAAATTGAATCTAATTTTTAAATTTTTATATTACAATGCCCATCAAAGAAACATCATAAAAACAACCATTAGGAGGGACCACCATGTTACGACCCAAACTCATCCCTATAGATTTAGCACTATAACCGGCCAGTAATCCGTGATTACCGAAGGCCTGCTTAACAGTAATAAGAATAATACAGAGTACAGGGGCTAGCGGAAGCCAAAACAGTAATAAAAGATGTCCAATGAGCTGTGACAATCAAAATGCAAAAAGACTTTTCATAACACATTCACATTCAGTACAAAAGCAGTATGTATATACATCATATACAGGCATTCAGGTTAGCGACCAAATCCCTATCATAATAGTACAGTACAAGTCTATACAGTCTATACAAAACAGAGACAGGAAGGGGGAATCTAAACACCCTGAAGCAACCTTGGCTTGGACACACTTGGAACCTCGCAGTGAGGCACGTTGGTTGACTTGACAAAAAGGGAGTTTAACCCAATGCTCCTAGCTCCGATCCGGTGCCTAGACACCTACATATATATATAAACAGTAAGTTAAAGCCCAGTGAATAACAGTTATGTAAAGAGGCTAGAATGAATGTCATTTCAGTCAATAAGCAGTCATATCAGTCATTTAGAAACAATAACAGTTATAAGTGGTATATCCAATAGCAAAACAGTACAGTAGGTCTTAGCAGAACGAACAGTCAGTTGATGGCCATCATAACAGTAAACAGTAGTGGTTCCAACATGGGAACCGACAGAGATCTCTGTAACAGTAGCAGTACAGTAACAGTAAGTTGCTATAGATACCACAAGTACAGTTCATCAATAGGACATCCTTCATTCAGTAAGAAATATCATTTCAAAAAGCAGTACAGTAGATCATTCAGAAAATATTCATGATTAAACATATCTTTACAATATTGTTATTCACAGAGTTCTAGGCTACAGATAGGCTAGTGAGCATCCTCGGATGCCAACCCTACACAGTTACAAGATGAACACACACTAAGTTGCATGTTTGGGAATCAATAACTTAGTCCCTATCTTGACTCGGTGTGGTTCTACATCAATAACCTCATTAAGATGCCTTAGACTAGGCCTAAGAATGCCTAGGATGAAATGAGAATGCAAAGATATACTTTAAAACACTTTTTAGAATTTTTAGAAAATAGGGGTTTCGCTCAAGCGTGGCTTTCTACACTCGAGCGGACATGCAGACAAAGGAGCTCCGCTCGAGCATGACTTTTCTCGCTCGAGCAGACTGCAAAAATACTGGATGCATGAAATTCACGCTTGATGGGCGCTCTGTCACGACCCGCTCCCCGTACCCAAGGGTTAAACATCGTGATGGCCAGTAACTGATGTTACCTTCGGCCAATTCTTTAAACAAATTAATAAACGCAAGCGGAAGTAATATTTAAGTAAGGGTACCAAAATAATCATTGGAGTTTCTATTTTTATTACAAAATTTATTGACCCAAAAAGGCCGATATTTACATATAAAAATATCAATAAAAGTACTGTGTGTGTCTATTCCGCAACCCGACTTTCCAAAAAGCTATTTCTGAAGTGCATTGATTCCTGAAAATTGGTAAACAACTATAAGCACATGGCAGAGTGAGAAATATTATACCAAGAGTATAAGGGCACGAAATAACCCATGGATAGTTATGTAGCCAAAACATTTACATAAACAAATCATTTGAGTAGTAAAAATCATTTAAGTTACAGAAACTGAAATACAGATATTATATAAATA